AAAATATAATCTGTTTAAATAATTAAAGAGGTAGAAATTCATAATTTATATATTTATGATTTGTTTTTATGTAAAATCAGCTAAAAATAAATTCTTCAAAAATAACATTCGTACGATTTTCTTTTGCAAATTGTGTAGTTTAAGTAATATTGAATATATTGTTATTAATATTAGATTGTTTTACATGTTTATATAGTTTTTTAAACTGTTTTGTTTATATTTCCTCTTTCTTATTTTTGCTTATTTTATCAGACTCATTTTTGCTTATCTTATAAATGTTAAAATGTTAAATATTGCAAAATTACAAACAGTATTATAAAAAATTGCTATATTACCTGAGAGAAGACACTTAGTTTGTATTCATGTTTTTAAAGCTTTATTTTTAACTTTTATTTAAGAAATATCTTAAAATAAAGTGTGTTTGATGGTATCGATGACTTTCCTTTAATAATTGCATTTTTATAATATTATATATACTTACACTAATAAACAAAAGAAAGCAAATTATTAAACTAACGGTGCTACAAATTACAGTTGTTAATGCGAAAGGACGAGCAACGATTGTAACTTCCCTTGCGTAACTGAATAAATGCATTACTTATTAGGATTATTTAAGGATTTCTTTTCAATTATATATTATTCTCATACAAGATAATAGTTGTGGTACTTACTTGAGTAGATGTTGATGTTTTTTAATACATTCGTACAATTGATAGACATTTGTAGCTTCTTTCATCTCTTCAATCAGTATCTCAAATCTTGCCGATGTAAACCAGAGCAACAGAGCCATAAAAATATTCGTACATACTTGTGCTCCTATCATTGAGCCTGCTATAGTGTGATGTATATAGATTATTGTTTTTAGCGGTTGATAATATACATCAAATGGGTATTCGGCCATTACTGGAAATGTCTGACCCGTTACAAAAGGTATTATTGCGGCAGTTGCGAACGTAACAAAGACAATATTACCCATAGAGAAACTATGGAATATGAGACATTTGTCAACGTATCGTTGAATTATAACTTCTTCGCGTGGTTTCATCGCGTTGCAAAATTGTAGCATTTCGTAAGTAACATTCTGCAAACATTTACTTAAAATAATCGTTACTGTAATTATTTTATAGGATTAGTATATAAAATATAGTAGCAAAACGTGAGTTTTCAATTAATTTACATTAATTTTTCAATGCAATAAAATTTAATTAGATAAATATCAATTACCTGTACGTGGCGATAATTAACCATATGAAAGATGAAGTTAAAAATTGAGTGAGTAATGCTACTTAATAGAACAATTTGGTTTACTAAGATCTCAGGCTCGTCAAGATGTTTTTGGATACCATATATTAATGGTAACTGTAGAGCTATTGATATAATTATGCATAAACAGTGATACAGTTTCACACACATCAATTTAAACTTTGTCGTATCATGCGGCATGGGCCAACACAAAATTGGAAACTGACTTAACTTTATTACGAAGATCACTTCTTTTATCGTCACCTTTTTTCGCATGACTGCCATGCGGGATGCTACGTATGTTACAAGCGCGTGTTGCAAGTTAATACTATGGGAAATGAAAGCTCTCTTGCGAGCTGTTACGTAATGGATACGCTCCACGTATTTGCAATAATATTATGATGAAAGAGTGTAGCAAAGGAGAGTTACCGTAGGAGAACATGTACTCTTACGTTTTTCCGTTTTGCATAGGGTGTGCGGTATACATAAATAAAATTATCATAACGCATACAATGTATGTGAGACTCGGATAGCTTTGCGTGCTTGAATTCTATAAGCGGTATAACGTTTCTTGCCCCCAAAAGCGTTAAAAAAAATATGCATGCACAGTAAGACTTCTTTGTATTTTTCCGTAAATGTTACGTATTTAGGGTGTTTATGAATATTCTAGATATCATAAGAAAGTAAGAAAATAGATTAAGAAAAGGATTTCTCTCTATGATATCTCGGATATCATGCGATACTAGCTATTTACGTCATAGATATTACGGAAAAACTATACATTATTTTATCTATTATTCTTTATAGTTTTTTGTATTATTACGAAACTGCAGTAAGGCAGTTTTGAACTTATAAAGTTTTCATGCAAACTAGCATACTGTGCAGTGTATGCTGCATAATAATTTTATCGATGCAAATCTGTTCGCGGTAGGAAGTAAGTCCGCAGGAAGTAACACATGTATCACCGAAATGATACACAAGCAGTGTTAGAATAATGGTCTTCACGCTCACGCGATTTTTGTATGTAATTTTGAGATAAGGAAAGATTTACTGTTCTATGTTATAGACATAGGTGAAACTATGTATAATAGACTCTAGGATATAGCCAAACCTGTTATCAGAATAGTGTTTCGTTTCTTGAACCCCACGTTGCAGTTACAAATTTAAAATCTATGCTATGAGTCAGCATTCAGAAAAATTTCCGAGAAAATCAATATCGAGAAGGGAGGGTCGGACAACGTATCGCCAGATTGATGGATAGAGTTTCGCATAAGCCGTTGCATCGTGCGCACGTTTGACGATTGGCTACAATAGTAATCTTTTGAATAATTGTTGCAGTGCGTTAAAGTGCTTTCTTAAATAATGAAATCTGAATTATTTATTGGGAGCACTCCAAATCCAAGTGTGTAAATCTGCGTAATCTCGCTACATTTGGAAATACTTATTGGGGATATTGATTGTGAGAGCGAAATTATAATCGAGAAAAAGGGCTTGCATTCAGTGAAATCCAGGTATATGTATATTTTGAAGCGCTATTTTATTTTATATTGCTAACAATAAAAAATCCAATCTAGGTACATATATGTAGATTTTAAACCGCTATTTTATTTTATATCGCTAACAATAAAATATGTGCAATAACATGATAAAATTAAATTAATTTTATCAATTTGATTTTGAAAAGTATAGAAAAGGCAATTAATGCAACTAATTTAAGAAATTCTATTTTAAGATCTGTTACTTAATATTTACTAACGTGAAGAGACTTATAAATATACCCCAAATTTTTTTTATGCTAAAAATATTACAAGATCTTTTATTGCGCAAAATATAATAACTTTGATGTAAATAAAAATTAGAGAAATTTATACAGATTTAAGATTTAATTCTGAACTTTATTGTTCACCACAAATACCATTCGTAATGTCATTAAATAAGAAAAAGCTGTTGATACATACTGAAATATATAAAATAGTAACATTAGTCTGTATTTCTTAACTTTAATATAAAGAATATATGGATAATAACAAAAATTGTATACTATAAATTTTTGTATAATCAGGAGTATTATATGCTAATATATTTACTTTCAAAAATTTTAAATATTTTTTAATATTTAAAAAATGTATTTTCCATTTATACATATATAATTATTTTATTATACAAAAGAAAAAATAAAAATAAATATATATGTTATACATAAATTTCTTTATGTAGAATATATTATGTATAGGATATTTCTTTATGTAGGCTAGGCAGTATTAATACTCTTGATTTATCTATAGGTATATTTTTTATATACCTATGTATTTTTGAAATATATTTGCAAAAAGTATTTATGTCAATCTTATTACAATTAATAATTTACGTTTATATATACAGAGTAATCGGTACTAAATGGTAAAGCGCGGGCAGGTACAGCAGATTAAACTGAGTCGAAAAGTTCTCTACCATTTTGCAATTTTCTCAATAGTTTACGAGAAATTAATTACTAAAGATCGTCGAATAAGCGCGGCCCGCCGTCAAATACAATTACGAAACGCTCAGGTCCCAGCGCTCGACTTTGCTAGACAACCAGTTTATTAATAAACAAGTTTTCGATTGCAATCTCGCAGCGCGAGTAAATATAATATAACATAATATATGTATATATTTACAAAATTTTGATTGTATGAAAAATATCAGTGTAAAATATTAATTGTGAAATTGGAAAAAAATTTTTTAATTTCTGAAATCTTACCGATGCATAATATTGTAATGATAAAGCTGGAAGGGCAGAGGAAACAGAGACGACCATTGGTGTTTGACTTCTTAGTAAAATAAAATTTAAATTTTTTTGAAAAACTTTGTCTTGATTATACCACAATGATTCGTAAATTGCTTGCGCAACATTGGTACTCTAGTAAATAATATGCAAATTTTAAAATAATATAGTGTTGAAACAATATAGTTGAAAATATGTAAATATAAAATATTGTATATAAATATTTGACAAAGAAAGATGTCATTTTTTATTATAAAAAAATAAAAACAATTTAACACAATAAATTTAATATATATATTTATTTATTATATATATACATATTTTATATTTGGCTATTTATAGAGATACTTAAACTATGTTTATATTTTGTAAAAAAATCATTGAAAAAGAAATAAGGAATTTATTTCACTGAATTGAGCAAAATTTAACGAAAAGAAACAATTGTGGTAAATAAACCAGAACTCGATGATACTATATAAGTTAGAGTTATCTTATTCGAATTATTTAATTATAATCGCCATTGGAATGTAACTTACCGCGTCTCCTAAGTAATCGGCTGGCCAAATATATGTATAAACGTCCATAAGTGCAGCTATGCATAGAGTCACAAAATGTATTTTGTCCGTTAACGTACTTTGCTAAGTATATAATAATAATTTGTAAAATAAATTATGTAATGCATGTAAACGCATTTATATATGTAAATATTTTCTCTAGTAGAATTAATGTTTCTTGTCGCAAGTCGATAGTAAATAGTTTAAAACAAACACTTACGCTTACAATTACTAAACCACTAGCAACAATTGCATTCGTACAAAAAATTATCATTGTAAAAATCACAGAACGAAAGGCAATTATTACTTCTTGAGCGTATCTAAAACGATTTTCTAAATAAGCTGAAAAAATTACTATATACATTGTGTTTCTATATAACGCATGTATTTTTCTTATTCTATAATTTTAACACAATTTTTTTTTTGGATAATCATAAATTATAGTAACAATAATAAATAATAGTAATCTTTATTATTTTTTTTTTCTAAAATTTTTTGTTCTTATCTGTAATATATCTGTGCGTACTACGTCTTTATAATATCTTTTAATTTTAATTCTAAAACTATAAAAAAGATTTGCACATTTGCAAATAGTATATTTTTTTATAAAAATAATAAAAATAATTTAATGTTTTTTAATATTAATTAATTTCTAATTCTAATCTAATTTCTCTAATTTCTATTGTTAATAAATTTATATTATTATTTTATAAGCTAAATCAATTATGAAATCTTTTTATTTTCAATTTTACTATTAAAATACTTAAAATACGTTTAGATACAATTTCAGTTTTTGATCTCAATTTCAGATAAAACTTCGTAAAACGTATTTTTTTAAGTACATAAATTTACAAAGCAATGGACTACTAAAAAGAATTAGTTCGTTAATTTTGATTTCAAATGCGGAAAATTCGAAATGATGATTAGTGAACTTGTTTTTTTTTGTGAAAAATATAATGTGCTAAAGTGCTGGAAAATTTTGTAAGCGTATTTTTTTAAAGTACATAAATTTGCAATGATACTAAAAATAAATTATCCGTTAGATTTGATTTTATGCGGAAAATACGAAATGATTAGTGAACTTATTTGTTGTGAAAAACAATATAATTTCACTTTGTATATAGATAGCGTTGGCTCTCTTCCATAAAAATACATATTAAATAAAAATATTAATTCTTTTATTAGAAAGATTAATAATTATTAACTTTATAAATGATAAAAAATGCATTTTTCTATTACCTTAATATTTTCACATGTTGCCTTATACATTCGATGATGCCGTAGATGTCGGTGACCATACGAAATTGTTGCGACAAGATTTCGAAACGTGCCGCGGCAAACCACATGAGAAGAGCAGCAAAGGTACCGAGGCAAACCATAGAAAAGCACTGCCAAATAGCGACGAATTGATGTAAAAAGATAATAGTTCTCATTGGTTCACGGTCCACGTCGAAAGGGTACTTTGCATCTGTTGGGAAGATCTGATCGGTCGCTATCAGTGGTGTAATTATCGTTAAACACGCAGTGAGAAAAACTGCCAGTGTGGAGCTCGCGTAAAACATCGCGCATCTATCGACGTACCGTTGATAAATCTCTTTCTCGTATGGTTCCGCACACTCCAAATTATGCTCCATTTCCGAAATCAAATACTGAAAATTAATTCGATTTTCAGCTAATAATACGTAGTTTATATCTGAGCTGTGAATAAGTGAGAATAAATCGATGATTAAATTAAATATTTTTTTGTTTCCCAAGTATAGATAATAATAACAATTGTCGCCAAGATATAATCTTGCTCCGAATAAACGGAGCTGATAAAAAGTTATTTGCTGAATAGTGTTTATTATAGTGTTAATGATATTATAAAGGTAGATATTTAACTCATTAATATCTCTATAAAATTGAGTAAAATAGATTGAAAATGGTTTATCGGAGGTCGGTCTGATATCGCTATAGATATGTATGTATTTCTTACTTGCAATCGATCATATTGCAGTGCACATTGTGTTATCTCCAGAGAGACCTGTATAAAGACACCTAGCAAGCACCATAACTTCGTTAGCTTTGGTAGATCGTAGTCATTACGATAAACGGTGTATGCTGCAGGTACGCTCAATATCATTGTATTCATACAAACTAAAGAGCGTAAAATTTTGAAGCGTATTATTTGAAATTTACTAGCGTTCTTTGAAAGCGGCCACGAAAAGCACAAAGCGACTATCACTTTTGTAAACGTAACAGCAGTTTTCGGTGTTATTTTTATTGCCATACTTATTCTTGACAAATTCGTCGAGAATGTAATATAATGTACAAGAATAATTTCAAAATCTATATTCGTTTACGACGTTCTCTCGCACTATGTTTCAAATAAAGTGTTGCAAGCTTCTCTTCAGTTTGCGTAAATATTTGATGCGTAATAGCATAATCAAATCGTACATCTTATACATACACAGTACTGTAGGCGAATGATACACACTGTAATTTACATGTAGAAACATTATCTTATTCGACTGTTGTACCGGTGCTGTGAATATAACATTTTATGATAGTTTCATGAAATAAATTTCATATCAAATGCAAAGTATATACTCGTGAAATATTAAAACAGAAAGGTACAGCAAATTTATATTCGTTATAAATTGCTACACACGATGATAATAAACTACTAAATTTTCAATATGCAATTTTATCTAGAGAAAAAACTAAAATTATCAATAGCACAAAGAACTTTTTACATTGTATCTACATATCTCATCATATTGTGAAGAGGTGTATAACATCATACATGTGTACAATATCTATTGACTTTGTTATATAAACTGACTATAAATAAATGTTATAAATTGACTTTGTTTTGTATTAACAGATAAATTTTCATAAATAGTTGTTTATTAAAATTTTAAAAACGATTTTGCATTCTGTACAATTGTGTCATCATCTCTCTCTTTCTTCGAGCAATCTAACATACAATATATAAAATAGGCATATAGTCTTGACAGGTACCGAATTTATGTTTACTTAAGTATGTTTAAGTAAAGAAAGTAATAAATGCAGAAAGAATAAATACATGCACAATAATTTTGTTTATAATTTTAATATCTATCATTTTTGTATTATATAATATATACATTATTATCAATATTAAAGTCATACATTATTGTTAAGAAGGTGATAATAACAATTCAATTTATATTTAAATCAAACACTAGTATATTTTAAGATCTATATAACAAAGTATAAGATATGCTTTTCTGTGCAAATACTAATTATTAAAAGTGGTCATTTTGATTATATGTAATGTTTATATAATATTAATTATATATAATTTTATATAATTATATATAATTAATTATATATAATTA